ATGACAGCTACCTTGTGCTAAACAAAAACCTTTTGAGAGACAGTGTAGATGTATTTTGGATTTGACAACCATCATCAACACAAGTGGGGCCATTTGCTGCCTATTAAAAAGGCAACTGTTGGCAGCAACATTACACCAAATCTGAAGTCGCATGTTAGTTTCAAGGAAATCAAGGAACTATGTCAGTTCCCCAATGCAGTATAGATAGAGGCCACACAGGTTGTATTAGATGAAATAAAGGAACAAACTGCATATTATTTCTTCTTCATTGGAATTTGACTTTTTGTGACAGCACAACCTTAGTAGCACATTTTGTGCTAATCCATCTAGTGTGGAGATATTTTTCTGGCTAATTGAGAACTTTGACCTGCTGGTGGTGCTGAATGACAAGTTAAGGGCTTACTGAAGTCTTCATGATTCATCTTTTGAGGATCTTGAACACTGTATTAAACTTAATGACAATCCATAAAACAGTGATTTCATTCTGGGCCAAAGTGGTCGACCAACTGACAGACCCACTGCACCACCGGACTGACACTGTTGACCCTAGAGCCCTGCTTCTAGCATTGCTCAAAAACTGATACGCACCCTGATTCGTTCACCCGTTGTTTCTTTTACTTCTTTACCTTGCAAACCACTGGTATGATGCCGTTCTCTCCCTCTCTATTTTCAGATGCTCACCTCCTCCATCCCTCCCTATCCATCGCGGCAGTGGGGAAATCCCTTGAAGATGGCGCTCCATCAGTAATGATTTTCTGCTCAGCTGAGCAATGAAAGGTACACATGCACTCACTCTGGCTTGCTCTCCCCATCTCATTCTCTCTCTCTGTAAACTCCCTCATCCATCCCTCAATGCATCTCATTAAAGTTTTAAAGCCAAGGTAAGCCGGCACATCAGTGAATCTCTCTATCCGCCCACTCTAACCCTGACAAACTCCACCCCATCCCTTCCTCATTTGCTCGCTGTTTCTCACTCAGGGGCTGTATGAAATTAAGGACAAGACAGCTCGGCATGTCTTTATTTAGAAAATAATAAGCGAACAGGAGAGAGAGAGTAACAAACTATGGGAAGATCAGGAGGGGGAAAGAAGTGGTGAGAGGTAGCTGCAGCATCTCTGGAGGCTCGTGAAGAGCTCCAGGTCTCAGCGAAACTGGAGGGCAGGTTGATGTAGGCGCAGGCCGCAGCTGGTATGTTTAATCTGGTGTGGAGGTTTCTCGAGCACTGGGACTATTCTCAATCAAATTGTTATTCTTTACCAAACCTAGCAGGAGGATTCTGAGCGGCAGCTGTTTACTATGCTGGAATTAGTAATGTCCCCCCCAGAGGCCCACAGTGCTGCCTCCTCCAAGGCTGTGAGTTTAAAGCGAGTTTATGTACCTTTTTCTGAACAGTGGCCACAAATGACAAATATGATGGTAATTTCTATAATATAGTGTACTGAAACATCGACACAAGTAGGGAAGACGCATACAGTTACACGATAATGTCAGTTTTACAATATCTGTCTATTTAAAGTTTGCAAATATTAGCTACCATTAGCCACCACAAGCTACAAGAGAGCTTGTATCAGTAAACCCCATAAAGAAAGGGGGTTTGATTGCTCATGAATTCAACCACTTTAAGGAAGAATGTTACTTTCTCATTCAAAAGTTACATACTATAGTTTCTTGAATTTACTGTAAAACCCACTTTAAGTTTTAGGAGGGAATAGCAAAAATAAACGATTGGATTTGTGGAATGCATTTTTTAATAGAAATACAACATTAATGTACAGTAGACATATTGTTTATCCTTTCTGATGCATCAGTTTTTTTTTTTCCATTTTTGTTCTTTCCATGTGTAAATAAAGGCTGAATGAACTAATGAATACATGAGTAATAAGTTTAAATATTCTCTTTTAAAGCTTCTGTGTTCATGTAACATTTATGCTAAAGCTTATCAAACTCAACTGAACCATGTGAGGAAGTTTCATATATAATGCATATTTACAGTAATACGTGACTAAATTTCAGATAATTCATTACTGACCAGCAAATTAAATTAATTCATACAAACCACTAAAGGTTGACCTTACTGGGCCATTAACAGGAAAGATCAGTCCCAACTTTCCCCTGCAATCCACAACATCCATTTTTGGGAGGCAGAGTCAATATTATCCAGCAGGCTTTTAGAAACTTGTTCTCCGAATGGAATGTTGGTAAGGGATATCAATATTAATGGCATAATACTGAGACCTCATTATGCTGAAGGTCATGGTGGGATGTGGATTTAGAGTGGAGGAAGACAAACGAAACTCTTTAACATTTCTGGCAGAGAAAAAACATTCGGCTAGCTGTAGGATACCTCCTGAAGGCAACCTGTCATTCTCACTTACATGCGTTAAAAAAAAGTTATCCACCTCCTTCAAATTTTTTTTTGGTTGAAAATGTGTTAAATCCTCCCTGTGACTTTAAGTGTGTGCAAAGTGAATTCAGTCATTAAAATGCAAAACAAACTGTGCAGGAAAGTAATGATTTATGGCACCAAAGGGACTTTTTACACTGCAGATAGACTGTATCTGGGTAGGTAGTGTAATGCATGGAAGATGAGACGCTCACATGCATTTTCTGGATATCACTTAACAAGAAATCTCTTTAAACCCAGTGAGTCATGATTGTGTTTGTGATGTCTTTCTCATTTTAACTTTTGTCTTTGATTTTGCGTTCACGCTCTCCATCTGTCTCTCCATCTCTCTAAGTATTAAAACATGCTACAATGCTACAAAGACTAAAGTAAAGAATAATGTGGGAAATACATTCATGTGACAGTTTAGTTACAAAAACTGAATTCAGTCTTTCCTTTAAAATCCACTGACACAAACACACAATCACTACTAAATAAGGCCTTATTCGCCATAATAGGGAAAGCACAATACCAATGGCTTTGTTCTGTGTCCCAGTAAGCTATGACAGTGTGACAGTGAGTCAGCATGCTCAATACCAGGACCTTGAAATGAAAATAGCTTTATGGAATTGGTGGAATAGTGTTTTCACTCTTGTTCACATGTCGAGGATTTTCTGTTAAAAAAGGCCTATAGAACAGAGCAGCAGGAAACAAATAGGTCTGCTTGCCCGTGTTGTTTAACTCATTGCCACAAAATAAGGGAATACTGTCACATCTCCAGCAAAGTATTAAACTACTACACTTTCTTTAAAGTCTTATACAATCATTTGTGTTATAAAGACCACTCATAGGGCTAGCTGGCAAACTACTGTAGTTGACAAGCTAACCACCAGCCAGCTGGGAACATGCTAGCGCTAGTCAGTTGCAAAATCTCCATCTCTCTCCAAGCTAGCTGTGTTTCTGTCAGTTCACAGTCCAAGAGACATATCTGAATAAATTCATTGTTTTTAATAGCAATGTGACCGGGCCTTACTGTGTTCAAAACCATGGAGTTTCAGGTGAGTTCAGAATTTAGTCAGAGGCGAACACACACAGTTTGTGCATCGGTTGCTTACAGCTAACGTACAGTCGGCTGTTTAGGGCAAATACACACATATATGTGTATTTATATAGATGTATTTAACACAAATGGTCCAGAGGTAAAATTTGTTTGAGTGCTGCAAGGTTGCACACAAGTGTAGGTATTTTCTTCACCCATCACCTGCCAATGAGTATAATTTATATTTTTTTCAAATTATAGTTTTGGTTATACAGTTTCAAGTTTTTGTATTGATACCAGGGAACATTTTGTTTAATACCAAAGTACAATATTAACATGTTTTGCCAAATTCTTAATGTATCAGTATTTATTTTTAAGATTTATCTTATTAATCTCATTCAAAGCTAATTTTTCATACTTCTGACACTTTCTCATACTTGCTGCTACTGACAAATTCTCAAAAAAACAAAACACGATGGTGGCCTAATTTACTCTAATCTGCTCTCCGTCCTGTCAGAAATAACAGGCCCTGCATACAGGCTGCTGCAGTACATGTGTACATAAACCATGAATCACATACAGTATCTATTGAGTGTTTTGTGTTGACAGGGGATCGGAGGTGATGCAATCACCTTTGCCAGGGTATGCAAGCGCCACACGCTCACTGTGCCCCACACACAGCTGACTGGCTGATGTAACCGGTGCCCCTGTGGTTTATCTTGAGGCTCCACCAGTACAGTCCTCTGAATGATGCCTCACACTGCATTTACATCAGGCCAATGTATCAGCCAAGCCTCCCAAATGAACACATTTTGCCTGAATATCTTTAACCTATTTTATTGGAGCAACCTCTGCAGGGATCATCATCCTTGCATTGCTGTGGATGATGTCGGTTTACATTTTTCATCATAGCTGAATATTTCTCATCATAGCTGAATACTGAGCAGGGTCGGAGCTCAGAGGAATGTTTGCTTTCTGCACAAGGCACATCACTGTGTCCTTAGAGTGTCCGAGTACTGATCCAACCTGCCGCTAACAGGCTTTACAAATGAATGACAGACACACGATCTCCCGCATGGTCACAGGGAAAATGTGTGTTCCTTTGCAGAATTATTCCAAAGAAATAAAGTATAATCCACTTAACCTTAAAATGATAAAAACCTTTTATTTAGATCCTAAAATTAATTCTAATAACCTTGAAACATTCCTCTGTTTTGGTGCAGATATATTCAAAAATAATAGGTAAGCCACAGCAAGATTTAATGGCTCATGAGCAGAAAAGTTATCAAAATCCTTCCAAAGTAGAACATTTCTTTTACATTTCCCTACCTACATACAGCTCCTATGTATGAATTCAAAGTTTCTCCTCCTGCTGTTAAAAGCCTGTTTTAGGCTCATTAATGGAAAACAAAGTTTACATGTTACCAACAGTTAAAGCCCAGCTACCCTATTACCTCAGCATGAATTTAAGACATATTCTGAATGTACCATCTGGACGTCTCAATGTTTCAGACTTTTAATGTGTAACAGTAAGAAACTGGCAGAGAGAGGGAAAGCAAAGCATGAGGCAAACATTACCATCGGAGGGCGATCTTGATGGGTGTGGTGAGGCAGGAGGTGAAGAGGTCAGCTGGGAGGTCGGGGTTCATGGGCAGCAGCTCGCTGGCCTCGCAGGCGGCCAGCTGGATGCAGTTCTTCATGGAGGGAGGCAGCGGCATCTGAGCGAGCGGGTGGCTGGGGTTGATAGCTGCCACCTGAACAGACAGAAGATGACAGTATATTCTTTAAATATGTTTTACAATGCATCTGTGATTTAACATCATCATTCGTATATGCTGTCATTTTCTTTTTTGGTCTATCCTGTATACACAGCATCTACTGCATGTCTGTCTCTACTGAGGTTTCTTCATCTGGAGTGAGGGTCAAAGGCTACATCCACACAACAACATTTTAGCTTTAAAATGCATACGTTTCGCTACGTGTACACCTAGCATCCACACAACTATGCCGTTTTTTTAAGCCCCTAAAATGGAGACTTTTGGAAACACAGACCAGAGGTGTAATAAAATATTGTATCACGATATTTTGTTCTGTATGCTGTACATATTGTAAAGCCCTCTTTGTGATATTGGGCTATATAAATAAAATTGACTTGATTTCAGTGTTTGTCACAAGTACAGCCCAAGCCAGACCCAGAAATAAAAGAACCCGTAAAAGAACAATAAGGTTTCAAATATCGGTAGATGGTTTCAGACCCAAAATATTGAATTATTGAGCTGCTCCACAACCTAACCCACAGTATTGTCTGGGGAAATGAATGACAGAGGGACAGAAAGAGGAGAGGAGCTGGGTCACAGACAACCCGACTTTCTGAAATTTATTCGTGGCTAGCTGTCTGTCAGAGGACAGAGCAGACACAGACGTGGAGGGACAGCCCCATTTGTTCATACACATTCATCAAGAAATAGGTCTGATCAAAGCCGCTGCCATTTCAACAATGTGAAAGTGAAGCACTTTCACACTGAACTGAGATGAGCATCCCCAAGAAGCCACAGTCCTGCTATTGTGGCAGCGCTAGAAGGATTAGAGTCACAGCAACAGCAGCAAGGTGAGAGGGCGACAGAAGCAGACAGGATGAGGAACTTGAGCTGAAGACCAGATAAGACATGAAAAGAAAGGTCAGAGACAGACTAAAGAGGAGCAGCCTGCAGATACAGAGAGATATGTAGTGACGAAAGGAGGCACAGGGAATAAAGATAACTTTAGAGAAGAAGCAGCTCTCTTTGGTATCTCGACACTCGTCACACAAAGTAAAATCAAGTTAGTGAGTGAGTTTGTGCAACTGTCCAGCAAATGAAACAGGTGAACACATTAGCACCCTGTTACCACCTACACAAGCCTGTTGTCATTATTGTTGCAAGCTGTTTGTGCTCGTCAGTCGTTTGGCACCATCACATCGCTCCAAGAAAACTTTCCCACATAGGCAAACCTACTGTCCGTTTAATCACGTCAGCTTTTTGCAATAGACTTCACTAAGGCCAGAAATTAATGTCTTCAAGACTGAGCTCATTCTCATTTAAAAGTATTGTGTTTACTGCTGGCTGAACTGTCATAGAGAGAACATGCTGTATTGTGTGTACATCATTCAATATTATAACATGGAGGTTTGCGAAAACACCCCAAAATAATCTCACTAAAAACTGAAATAAACAAATAATTCTAACTGTTTTCTTCTGTTATGGACAGCATGGGATGAGCAATAAAAATCATATTTTTGTTTTGTTTTCCCCCTATTGCATGTGAACGGAAACAATTATGATTGCAGAAGACACAAATCAGTGCTTTTTGCAGGTTTGCCACCTTGTGCTTCCAGGCAAAACATAACAATTGACGCACTGCCTGAGACATTTTGAGAACGTAATGATAATGTGATAGGTTATCGATCCCAGTGAGGAAATTTTGCCCTTGCTTTCCCCCTAAGCGGGCGGTCTTCAGTGGTAAACAATCCTCTTGTCTATTGTAAAAACAGAATTAGCATGTTATTTCCACACTCTGGGGCGGCTCAGTCAATACCGGCAAACGTGAAAAATGTAGGAGGCTTGCATATGATGTAAAACTTTAATTATATGTGGAGCCCTTGACTATTTATGTGCTCATTGTGCTGTTGTACTGTTGATTTGTTTGCTGGGAGTTCAATATGGTTTCTGTCTTTTGCTGAGTAGACTTTAATGAGCTGTGGGTCTTAATGAAGGCAGCAATCCAAGACTTCCCTTTATCATCGCTGACTGCTATGGGTTGCTGCCTTCATTTTGCAGCTCTGCCTAATTTTAGTAACAAATTAGGGATGGAGATTATTATTATTATTATTGCCTCTTTTATGCAAAACAAAAGTCTCTCGTATTCCAAGAAACTGTATCATGCCACTCTCACGTTTTTAATTTAGTTTTTTTTACTGACAGCAGCTTTTGAGTTTCATTCCATAACAGTGTCAACAGCTCTCCACCTGATAGCCCATGATCAGTGAAGCCAGTTATTGTTGGCGTCAGGGGCTGTGGAGAATGTCTGTTGATGACATGTCGGATTATATTGAAGACTCTTCCAGTGACTACACAACTTAACATCACAATTTCACAGGCCTAAGTCTGGAAATAAATAAATAAAATCAAACCTAACCCTGTTGGAATTTAGAAATTATAGCCAGCTGAAACTAGGTTAAGAATCCAATACTTTTGGAGTTAACGTTTGACATTTAATTGGCCAGTTGCATTAGCTTCCACATTTCCTCTGTTAGGCCTAGCTTTTGAGAATAAAAAATGTAATGCCCCCATCTCACCTAAATAGCTGAGAACTGAATACAAAACTGAAACTTCAGTATAAAACATTTTACTGAAAAAAAGGTAAAGCAATCAATACATTTTCAATAAATAAATAATGCCTTTTCTGAGGTTTTGTTCACATTTTTGTAAGGAATCCCTCTGTAGGCGCAGTGAATGTCAAAATTTCACTGTAGCGATGTGATCACCATCAGGGTCGATAAGGCCATATATTAATGGATATCTATTGGCTAAAATAAAGCAGATCAAATGCTGAACCTCTCTTTACTCTGTTGTGTTTTGTTCACCTCAGTCTGCTAATGTTGCAGCACTACTCTCCTTAATGACAGGCTTAATCTACACTGTGAGTATATCACTGCATATCCCAGTGAAAATCAAAAGTATGCGAATGTGAACCATTAGTTGGGTGCAGCGGTGCGACTGACTCAGAGTTCAGACACGGAGGCTGACAACTTACACGTTTTCCCTAAGTTTCAGCACTAAGGAATCTGTTATTGAATCATTTATTTCTCCTCTCTTTCGAAGAGCAGGGTACAAAAACATTCAGGTAGCAGCCGTTTTAGCCGGCGCTGTCGCTTTCACGGATTAAAATTACAAACTCATATCAGCTGTCACTAATCAATGATAATTCTACGAATAACTAGATTGTGTCTGTTGTGGATTTGTGTGTCTGTACTCGGAACAAGCTGTAACACTGCTGTACAAAAAAGATCTGTATTTTTAACAACTCCAACACAGTGATACATTTTCTCTCTAGCGGATATCTTCACATCAATTTAAGGCAGCGCATTTTCATATCATATCAATATTATTTAAGCTTTTAAACTGAATCAGGACCTTCGGTGTTTGGACTGGTGAAGAATAAGGTTTGTCAGATTTAGTAGGCTACACCTGTTATTTCAATAATGTCAAACATATTTAATCAAAACCTGCCATTGTTTTGTGCTGTTGTGTTGTACTTCATGTCCCTCTCTCTGCGTAATGATGTGTACAGAGTGTGTATATATTTTCCCTGTGATGTACAGTCCTGTGAAAAAGAATTTACCCCTGCGGACAATAAAGTCTAACTATCTATATCTAATTAAGTCAATATACTGCAACTATGTGATCAGGCTCAGCATGATCTAAATTCCTAATATTAAAGTACTCGGCTCAGGATCAGAGACAAAAAATATATTAAAAAAACCCAGAGGGAGACATCCCTACTGTCAGGACTACATACATTTTATTACAACAGTCACCTTACCTGAATAAAGTCTAAGAAATTATTACTTTTAATTAATTAACACTTTTATTGATGAAAGCACTTGCAAGTGAGCATTAACACTATTCCATTAGCTTCAGGAAGAAAGAGCAGAGGTGCTATATCACAAAGCGAAGGCCACATATTTGATGAGGCAATTATTAATGTTAGTAAAGTTACTACATTGATCCCAAGATGAGCCACATTATGACATGTCAAATTTAGCTTGTCAGGTGAGAGTTATTTATTGATTGATCACATCATACATTTGCTTCATGGCTTTATTAGTCAGTATATCAGTGTCAGGAACAGAAGAAACCGTCTGAGTGCGAAGTGTGGGGAAAAACTAGGCACTCGAGCAGAGCTGCTGGTCAAACACTGGGCTGTTGGATAATCACTAGCTGGTCACGTTTTACCGAGTAGAGTCTGCAACCAGCCTTGCTGTTTTTCTACCAGGCACGTTTGGAGCAGTCAGAGTTGGTTTATCATTTGCTTTTAATTCAGTTTCACTTTCTCCATGCGTTGCTAGCAGTGACTACCAATGCGTCTATCTTCAGCCTTCTCTGTCCCACAGTTTGGCAACAACTCAATATGTGAGCGACAATTTGGGGTATTTTGAGTCCTTGTTACAATTCTTGGCGTGTTATTTGAGCTGGAAAAGTTTTCAAAACCTTCCAACAGTTGCAATGTGCCAATTTCAGTTTGATCTGAAAGATTTGTGTGGGATGAATAAAGAGGCTGTGATCATATATTGCACACCTGGCCTTGCTCCCTGTAAATAAGCACGTTGGTATAAATTGCAAACGGTTTCTGTAAGACCTCTTGAAGAGCTGCAGACACTCTGAACAGCTGTTTACTGCGGCGGAAAATGTTGCTTCAAGTGCTAAAACTCTTTCTGTGTTTGCAAACACTGCTGGGGCTACAGGCACGAAGGCTGAGGAGGAGCAGGAAGAGAGTGTGAGAAATCTCCAACTGTCTGGCACATTAAAACTCTGTCATATAGGCATGGATTGGCATAGAGATTAAGAACATACACAGACAAGCACATGAGGCCTTTCATAACATGAGATTTACCCCACTCCCGGTTCATAAAGCATTGGTTATCATGAAAAAAGAAGTTTAATTATTTTTAAAATTGCCATTTGGACCTAACCAAAAATGTAATCAAGTAATCCAT